TTCTATTCTATTCTATTCTATTCTATTCTATTCTATTCTATTCTATTCTATTCTATTCTATTCTATTCTATTCTATTCTAAAACTGACAAACAGCTTAGGTTAAGTTAAGGATTTGCTTTATATTGATCAATTAAATCTTAAAAACAATCATTATGTGCATTTTTAAAATGAAATTAGCTCATATAATTTCAAAATGTGGGTAAATTTTGAATATGAAGTTACTAGATAAGATAAAGGCACAGAAAATAAAGCGTTAAATTAACTTTTTAGACATCTAACAATGTGTCTCAGTTCAGCTTAGCATGAAAACAGAGTTTAAACCCAGACAGGAAACATCGGTGCTGATGAAAAATCTCTGAGTCTGTTTTGTGTTTGTGCTGCAATGATCAGGTCATTACAAGAGACAGAAAGAATGATAACGTCCCGCTGATTCCAGCGCTGAGGAAGTCTCAATAAAAATATATAAATAAATAAAAAAACACATGTAATGTCACGCTACATTTGGCCTTACGTAACCAGAGACACTCTGATCCTGATCTGAATACCAAACACTCCCAACAAACTGCAACACTCTGGGTTTGATCTGCTGCAGGGAGCAGAAATATAAACAACCTGAGGAAGCAAATCAACTTTTCTAACAAAAAAACTCAGTCCAGAGGCAGGAATATAAAATGTTACATCAAAAATCAGACGTTATTGGAACTCCTGGTTCAGATAAAAGAATAATTGTGACCCATCATATTGAAATGAGGATTAAGTCAAATTTGAACAAAATGACCTAACTACATTTTCCTGGCCTAAAAGCTACATTTTGATACCTGGATCATTCTGATATCATAAGCTTATCCAGAGATATGACTTAATTTGTTTTGTTGGTTACGATGAAACTTTGCTGTTTGGTCTGAATCCTAATTTTATGTAAATTTATTGAGTAATTTTTGATGTTAATATAAAGAGGAAACCTCAAACAGTATTTGTATATTAAGATTTCCCAGTTGCAAAGAAATAAAAACATTTCTAGCTCACAGGGAAACATTCAACATTTTATATTCCAGACAGTTCATGATTCATTGATAAGGCATTAATTCATTTTATTTTGACAAAATGCTGTTTTTGCACACGTTTAGATCAAAACCCTTTATCTGCCTGTTTCTCCACATCTGGACTGAATCCGATGTGATGGGTCACAATTTATAAGTTGTGACAGAGAAATTGTGTTTATTTTACATTAAATGTTATGAAAGTAAAAATTAAACTAGACTTTGTTGGTTTGAGGCCCGGCCCTGTAGGCTTCAGCTGGTTCTGGAGCAGTTCTGGGGTCTGGACCGGGCAGCCCCCCCAGGTGGTGCGTACCTGCAGTAAAAAGAGAGGCTTTCTGATGGGATGTCAGAGGACAAATAAATAAAAGAAAGGCCGTAAAGGTTCCACCTGCACACACCCAGTAGCAGGATGCTCCTCTTCCTCCTGCTTATGCAATGCCTACGCACAGCGTTGCCATGGAGACCTGGAGCACCTTTTATCATAAGGCATTGAGTCTGGTAAATAAGACGAGGGTCGTCACGGTAACAATATGACAGGAGGAGAGAACCTCGGTTCACCTCCAGACTTTAAACCTGAGAACAGAATTCATTCATGTCGCCAGTCTGTGGCAGCCATCTTGGTTTGGTCAGAATGACCAATGACTCTCTGCTACTACCACACAGAGTTTCAGCTCAACATCTGGGAAATTAACTTCATCAGAGCCACTGGACAGAGATGGCAGTCTTAAGTCAGGTTTCATTTCAATTTGTCATGAGATATTTTGCTAACAGACAAACACACACAAATAATTATGATTTCCTGCCTTTAAACATAAACATATAAAACACTGCGTTGATGAGCAGAAGTGTTTCGGGGACATAAATACATTTAGTCTTACTGGAGGGTCCTCAGGTTCCCTTTGGGAACATAAACCAGAACCAGAGACCCTCACTGACGGGAGGCGACCCTGCAGAAACCCAAACAGAACCAACACGGTGCTGTCTGATGTGGAAACGTGAGCGCTCATGTGAGAGGAGCAGGAGGGTTCTGCAGTGCTCTGCCTCTGCAGTGGAGACGCTTATGTAACCAGGAGGAGGGAGGGGGACTCTGTGTACCACTAAGGAGCCTCACTGCACACACACACACACACACACGCACACACACACACACGGCTGCATGACTCCAACTCATAAATCAATGCTCTCACATGTTCAGGAACAAAAAAAAAAAAAAAAACTGTTCCACTGAAAATTATTGCTTTTTAATGACATCATTTACACACAAACACACCACTGATCATCACACACACACATTTCAGATCTGTGTGTTCATTTGTCTGTCAGCAAAATGTCTCTTAAACCACTGGACACATGTTATCATCTCATGAGCACAAAGTCTGTGTGAATATGATAATATTTATATCTCCTTTGTAGACCAAGATTTAGCTTCAGTAAGCTAGTTTTAGAGGGCCAAGACCCCCATCCATGGCCCCTCCTGCAGGTGATGACCTCTCCTGCAGGTGATGGTCCACAGGAAGACAAACACATGTTACTCATTCAGCTGAGCTCAACTTGCAGAGCAGGGGGTCTCTGCAGTCTCTAAATGGGAGTTTCTTGTTTTGTGGGAGGAGTTTGTCCAGAACACGATTGGTCTGTTTGACTTTTGTGGGCGTGGTTTGTTAAAGACAGGATTGGTCAGACTGACTACTTTAGTTGGGGTTTGAAGGTAGGAAGCACCTTGTTTTTAAATATAAACATTAATTTTAGTCATAAGTAAAGACAGGAAGGTGCTGCACAGAAGTAATTCAATAAATTATGTTTATATGTCCTGTTTTAAACTGTACATAGAGTCAATAAATCATATTTAAATGCTCACAATAATTTTACTATTACCATTACTTCCTATAGAAAGAACAGAATATTAGATTACTAATCTCATTAGCCTGGAAATTTTTCTTATTTCAAGAAGTCTTACCAAGAACACTTGTCTTACTCCACTGAGATTATTTCACTTAATCTGAGGAGATTCAGACTGAAGTTTCCAGCTGCTGCCCTCGAGGCCTGACTCTGGAACAAGAAATGACTGATGGGAAGTTTTCTCTGCTTCAGTGATGGACCTCCTGCAACTTATAGGAGAAATGTTTAAAATCAAACAGTTTTTCCACTTCAGCATTTTAATTCAGTCTCTGCTTCCTTTCTAATCTCTCTGGTTGCATCACCGTTCTGTTTGCCCTGCAGTCGAGTCTCGCCACGTTCCTTTGCCCGGTCCACATCTGGATGCAGGTGTTAAAAAATAAAAACCACACAGAGCTTACTCACTTTCTGCCCTCGTTAACGGAGCTCAGTCTCCACGGTGAACAGACTGAACTGAGTCAGACAGAGAAATACAAAGAAAACTATTTCACCTTTTTTCTGTCTTTGACCGCAACTTCCCAACAGGAAGAGAGATTTTTCACAGCAGCTTTAAGATAATAAATAAATAAATAAATGAATAAAAAATAAATAAATAAACGGACCAGATTTTCAGTTTTTGAATCATTTTATTTGTTCCTTTTTCAGCTGTTTGAAAAGAATCAGAACGACTTGTATAAAACAGATAAATTATGGCTCTGAAACACCAAAAAGTGACGACTTCATTTGACCTTCTGGTTCTGGTTTTTTAACACAGCAGACCCGGACCCGGTCTGAACCCCACTCTGAAGTTCAAACTGTGAAACTATTTAAGAATCTGCAGAGTAAAGAACATTTTCTCTGCTGTTCGGAAAAATCTGCAGACTGTTTCTGTTTCAGGCAGGTTCACGATTTATGATCTGTTTTACCGTGTTGTTGCATCTATAGATGTTTCTCTAAACCTAGTTTGATTCCAGGACGTCTATTTAAAAAGTTACAGATCAGCCTTTAAATCCAGCCGAGCCATGGGTTCAGACGGGGACACAAACTCACCGCCGCAACATTTTCAGGCAGATAAAACACATTTTGAAGCCGTCAGCAGACGACTTCTGATTGTGCGGAACAAATCTGAAAATGTTGCGGTCCGACATCAGACAAGAAACTTTTAAGTCTTTCAAACATTTTAAGGCCAGAGGTACGTTAAAAATAATCAAATAATCAATATTWGAAAAAAAACTAACAATAGAAATCAAGGTTTGGAATAAACGTTTGTATTTAAAAAACAGTTTTGGAAAAGTTGAGAGTTTGTGTAAAATGTAGATTAAAAACTGAAAGCAATGATTTTCTAATCTCAAAAACACAAATGTTACTTAAATAATAATAATAAACATAATGGACGTATAAAAAGCTGAAACTAGGAATTGTTTTTAAAATAATAAGGTATGAAGTGATCTGAATAAAAAACAGCTGCGACGGGTCACAAAACCATCCAGTTTGTTTAAGAACCTGCCTCTCTGATGGTATGGAGGTGCATTAGTGCTTCTGGAAAAACACCATGAATACAGGTTTTAGACCACCTGCTCCCACCCAGCAGAGATCCAGGACTGAACAGCTAGAACCCTCCTTCAGACAAGAACAGTTCCTTCAGCACCTCCACACCCGGTCTCCTCAGATCCTGGACTTTTACAGACTGAGTGGGAAACACGGATCTGGAGCAACAGGCATCAGATTCAAAATTACATCATTTTATTTCTTAAAAATCGTTAAATTTCTTAAACAGCCGATGAGCTGTGAAAATCATTGCTTTCTGTTTTTATTCACTTTTTACAGATTCTCCTTATAATCAGAGCGAACATCTGCAGCTGCGCCTCTGCTGATGAGAAATTTTAAACAAAATGAAAGTGGTGAAATTATTTTCTGGCATTATTCATCTGTAAAAAAAAAAAAAACAATAAAACATTTTGTTCCTATTCAGGGAGTTTTGGGGGAAGTACCATCAGAGCTTCCATTCGTCTCGTTCTTCAGATAATACGATTTAAATATGACCCTCGGTGAATCATCGCTACACTCATTATTTACTTTTCTCTATCTTAGACGTACCATTTGAATAATAATAATAAAAAAAACAAATAAAGGTTGTTCTCATGCACATTCTGTCCTTCACAGTCCAACATCAAGCCCGCAGACGACCCAGAACCACAGATGGAGCGAGTTCTGCTCAGTGACCCGCGTTTAAACCCGACTGATAAAAACATTAAAATCAGATGAAAAATCTGTGAAACAAGTTTTGTGCTTTTACAAAGAATAAATACAAACTTCTGTTTGTTTTTTGCTTCTGGGATGGAAAAGCTCAACAGGTTTGATGAAGTGGAACATCTTGTAAACAGATAAAAGTGCTTTGTTTACGTTGAGTGTGGACCCGCATTCTGATAAACGTTTGACTTCAAGCTTTCGAGTCCCCTCGGCTTCTGATGGCAGGAATCTGATTTGTTGACGCCTCACAGCTGGTTCTGTTCTGAAGCTGAACCGGGTCCACCTCGTGGTTCTGGGCACACAGTGTTTCCTCTAAACAATCATTGTTTAACTTTTCCTGCTCTGTGACAAAAACCCACAGAGGAGATCGCTACAATCAACAAGTAAAATCCAAACACGCAAGAAGAAAAGTGGATTTCAAATTAAAACTTTTTGCACCTGAATAACAGGAAGCTAACGACTTCCGACTGTCAGGAGGTGACGGCCGGCTGCTGTGGTCCTGATTTGAAAAACAAACAAATAAATAAACAACCGCTGCGTGGCTTCAGGCTCTCGTCACGACGACACGTTCGCCACAAGGGGCGGCGGCGACTGTCCCAGTCCGGTGGAGAAGAAGCCCCGCCCCTTCTTCCCACCTGTGAGGTGGAGGAATGTGGCTTCAGAGCCGGGAGGAGGGGGGGTTCAAGTTCAAAGTGAGGGGAATGAAGGAGGGAGGAAGAGAGGAAAAAAAGAGGAAGAGAGATAGAGAGCACCTCCACCTCCTCGGGCAGACGGCAAGGGCAAAGCTAACGGTTGTTCTTCGCGGCCTCTTTGGCCGCCAGAATGAGGGGAGTCAGGCTGGAGAGGGGCTTCGCCATCTTTAAAAACTGATGCTGTGAGAGGAGGAGGAGGGATGAAGAGGAGGGTGAGGGAGGGGAAAAACAGAAACAGAAATATCTCAGTTCAGGCTTCATTCGTGTATTTTTTATGTGAATGGTTCGTTCTTTGTTTTTGTCATTTCAAAATAAAAGTGCAAAAAGAAAACAACAGCGGATTTTCTATTAGTTCAGTTTTACATTTTTACATTTATGTTTTTCTGTTTCCAAAACCTACGGTAAATGTAAAAATGTAACATGGAATTAATAAAAAATCCAGAGTGATTTCGGTTTCGTTTAGTTAAATCCAAATAGAATAAAATACATGGT